ATTACTTAGCCTGTAGAATTTCACAATAAAGGATGCATTTGTATGCTTAAGAGTCCATTCTTGGTTCTCCTTTATACTTCTGCAACAAAAAGTGTTTAAAAGTTTACAAAATTTCCATGAAATAAAGTATTTTGATTCTTTACAATTATTGTTAATATATAATTGACAACCACACAAATACGTATTGTACATTTTAGTGTTAAATATAAAAAATAAGTTTTTATTGGAAATGTGTCTTATAATCAGTTAAATCAAATTAATATGATTAATACTTTTTAATGAATTTAACATGGAAGAAACAATTCACATAAAAAATTAGAAGAGAATGAAAGGAGTTTGTCACAAAAAAATCCTTGAATCATTTGAATTCCTTCTGGTTTATATGCTAAAAACCATATAATCACCTCCCTTCAAACAATATTTTTAATAATATCTTAGTTGACAATTGAATTAGGTGTGTTTCAAAATTTCTTTAAAAACTAGAAATGGATTTGTTAGGCTATCATTCCAGTAACTCATTTTCTCAATTTCTATGACATATACAAAAATGATATTACAAAGATTCATCGTTTCCCTTGAATCAGTCTTCTTGTTTATTGTACGACACAGTTAAAAACATTAATTTCAACATGGTTTTGCCAAAAAAAAGGTTTAAATGTTTTTATCCCATCATCTGTTTCAAATATATTTTTGTTTAAACAAAACAAAGCATAAACAAATAAAAACAAAACTAGACAAGAACCTCAGAGCCAAAGATTTAGCTCATTAGTTTAAGGAGAAATGTCTAACATATTAGATAAATGGCAAAGCCAGTTGTTAATGCCAAACTACTTTTTCAGAAAAATATAACTTAATATTCCAACTGGAATATCAACCATCCCTTTTCTAAATTTTAATTCAATAAAGCAAGAAGCCACAGAGCCCCTAGAGGAGCTTGTTGTTTGGATAAAATAGAGAACTTTTGCTTTTGGTATTTTTCTTTTGATTGTTATGTGTTGCTCTCAACTTAGGAATTACTGAACAAAGCATGCAGCAATAAGGTCTTCTAATGAAAATTCATATCATTTTGGGAATTTGGAACACTGCAACACAGGACAGTGTTTAAAATGAAGCATTACCCCTAAGAGCAGGAGAATTTTCCCCTCTGGCCCTTGCAGGTAATTTTCCCGATGCTCCCTCCCCAAACCCTCTTATGCATGACCTAGGCCCCAAACCACTCCTGCTAGCCCCCTTGATAAAATCAAAAATGTGGGTGCTAATATTCCTGAACAATTTCTCCCTCTTTTGAGATTCATTCTTGTTCAACTGTTTCTAAAAAGAGAAAAACTCAAGGTGACTCCCTGTATCCTACTAACACTATGTTCTACCCTCTTTCCTCAAACTAGATTTTTTTTTTTTTTTAACTTTCATGACCAGTATTTTAAAATAAGGGCTTAATCATTGCTCTAGTTAATTTTCTTCCCTGCAAGACAGGGAAAGACAAGAAGCTCTACCTATTATCTTAATTAATAGAGGCTTCACTAACACCAGCAATTTGAACTGTCTCATTTTTCTAGACACTTTGGATTTCCTACCTTCTCCCTCAGGGCAATATACCATAACAATAAGAAATCTGACAATATACATTTCTTTGTTAAAATAGAAAGGCAACTGGAAACAGGAGGCAAAGACAGTGGCATACTTTGCTTTCCTGATCAAAAGCACTTGTCAGGAAGAACAATTTTAGAAAAAGAGCTTGGAAGTTGTGAATTGGAAAACTGATTCCTTTAGACTTCGAAGAATATTATAGAATCCCCAGTTTGAAAAGTGTTGGTTATGTATGCTTAATGGACAATTACCAGAAAAGAAATCTTGATTAGTGTTCTGTTGAACAGCAGAGTAAGATCCACAAATACAGCAGCTAAAGCAATCATCAGATGGCAAATACAAACATTTGAATTATTCAAAGTAAAAAGAGTATTTAAAAAATCAGTGGTAACAAAACTATCTAAAATAGTCTTTTTTCCCCCTTCCCTATTAACTTAGAATGATATTCTTTACTTATAAACAGTTAAAATCATCTGATGAGGTTTTTTTTTTTTTATCATTTTGGGAATCTGGAACACTGCAGCACAGAACAGTTTTTAACATGAGGCATTATCCTTAAAAGAGAGATGTATATATGATATATATGAATTATAAAATACACATATTGGGATACTATTACATGTCCTTAATAATTAGTGATAGCATCTTAAAAAGTGACAAACTGCTGTATAATTTATTTATTCAAAAACCAAAAAATTTACAAGTATTCACTATCTTAGTTACTATATCAGGAGTTGGAATTCAATATGTACCCATACAAAACAATCTGGAAACAAAAAATAAAAGTAAACTCAATAAATGGGATAAACAATAAGGTTCATGGAGATGAAGACAGGCCTCCAAAAAATCAACAGAATGTAGAACAAACAAAAATGAAAAATTGTGGAAGAATTAATAACAAAGAAGTTAAAGAGGGAAAGTGCAACATTAATCAGTTTCACTAGGGAACAGAGAGAAAGTAGAAATAATATCTGAATAGATTCTAAATATTTTTCTAAAACTGATGAAAGGTATCTATCTACAGACTCAGGAAGCTAAAAGTCCCAAACAAGTAGACAGAAATAAATAAATAAATAGATAAATACAGGCCTAGAAAATTAGAATGTAAATCATAAAGCAAGAGACTGATAAATTTTAATAGTTTAAAACTGAATTTTTGAAAAAGAATTTCATAGAAAAAAATCAAACTATGAACTGGAAAAGACATCTGCAACACAAATAACAAAGCATTAACGTATATATTATCAAGAAAAGACAGTACAATAGATAAAAGGGCAAAAGTGGTAAATGGGCATTTCAAAGGGGAAATCACATATGGGTAATTAACATATGAAAAGATGTTGAACATCATTAAGACTCAGAGAATTGCAAATATAATTCCAATGAGACACCATTCACCCCCACCATATTTGTAAGAATTAAAAAGTCTAATAACATCAAACATGATGAGTACATTAATGTTCATTTTATTATTCCTTAAATTCAGTATGCACATTATGCATGTTCTTATATATGAAAAATTTTATTAACAACTGGACTTTGCAATAAAATGTGTGTTCATCTCCCTGGGGAGAGCCATTTCAGTGAAATAGTGGAGATGAAAACTAGACTGCAGTGGGCTGAAAAGGCTCTTTAAGAATATAAAGGCAACTACAGACTATAGACAATTCAAGCTTATGTATGGGGTTGGGCAGATAGAGCTGCAGCTTTAGGGGGAAGTCCTGGTGAAAGTTTCTGTTATGTTTTTATTTTTTGAATAAAGAAAATCAGACAGGCTTAGAAGAAATAACAAAAGGGTAAGGAAATAAAGAGTCTGGAAATAAAGAGTCTGGGGCAGTCACAAAGGTACAAAATAACTCATGAATAAGGATTAATTTTAGATGAGAACAAGGGGTCCTATTTCACTGTTATGAGAGATTACTTCTTTGTTGTTCTCCTACCATTTTCCTCCAGCTCTATCCACTCCAGTCACAATGGTGTCCTTACTCTTCCTTCAAGTAGGCCTCTGCCTAAGGATTTTTAAACTTCAATCCCTCTATAAAGAATACTCCTTCCCAAATGTACATGAAGAGTTGCTTTCCAATCCTTCCTTCCATGAAATGTCAACTCAGGTGTGTTCTCTGACCAATTTGAAACTAAAATCCCCTTCACACTCTCTACCACCACTCTAGTACTCCCTATTTCCTTTCTCTGCCTTATTTTTATTCATTATCTTCTAATATTGTATAGAACATATATTTGATTGTTTAACTTCCCTACTCCCATTGTATGTAAGGTTCGTGAATTTGGACTGCAGCTACGGTTTTTAGTAATTCTTGGTAAAAGATAAAAGCTCAACAAATACATGCGAAATCAATGATTAATGGTTCCTGCTTAAAGAAGTATAGTGAAAACAATGCTGTTAACATTTTAACAAAATGAAGTCAGGCATAGAGTATAAACAATTTACTGCCTACAGAAGAGATGAAAATTGAGTTGCATCTTAAATCAGGAGTCTGACAAGCAGAGAAAAAAGGGGGCATTCTGGGACATTTGGGAATGGGGTAAACGTGGAGTACAGTAGAGATGACCAGATTTTAGCTGACCTTACAATGTCAACAACAGAGGACAAATACAGAGCTTCTCCACTCTAAAAAACCTTTTAGAAGATTTATTAGTAGGTCACTTGTTGTATTTGGAGTACAAAATCTATAGTAAAGTTTATATAAAAATACCCCCACTATTCTCTTTAACTAATGTAAAGGAAAAAGTCTAAACAAACTTAACCTGTTTTCCCATAAGCTCTAGATACACAATATGTAGCACAAAGTGGGAATACTGCTAACAAACTTTTCAACTAGAAAAAGAAGCTAGGAGTAAATACTGCCATTGGTGGGAAAGAGCAGTTGGGAGGCGAAACAGGAATTGTCAAATTCAACTATTTAGTAGCATATACTCTCTAATTACCATTTACGAATTCTGCAGTGGACCTGAGAGCTGTCATAACAAACCTGCACTTAACCCCCGTTTTCAGAGTCTATCTTCCTTTTTATCCACATCACTACTATCTTTGAGACACTTTTTCGTTTTAACCTCATCTCAGTTACTCAATTATGCAGCCTATTTCCAGGGGGCAGGAAGCTCAGAAAACCTGGGGGTGTGTTCCAGAGTTCATCAACCCCTTTAATCAGTTCTGGAACGCAATAGAAAGAAACGGGAGAGGCGGTGGACACTATGGTGCTTTGGAGTTTGGGCCATTCTGGGGCTTGTGAAAAGGTCTGGCTCCCTGAGAAGGGCGGGGACCCAGGCGTTCCCAGAGGTCAAAGCTCAGGTCGAAAGCCGGGGGACCGGGCGTGCCCCGAGAACCCTGGGTGGCCTGTGGGCCCCGGGGTGTAACTGGGAGGGGAGTGGCGCGGCGACTCGGAAAGACTCACAGTAATAGGCCACCACAGGGTCCCGCTTGTCATGCTCCTGAGCGGTCCTCAGATGATGCTGTATGCTCTTAAATTGTGGGGGGAGCGGGGGCAGGGGTGCAAGAGCAGCCATCTCTACTCCAGGAATCACCTCTTCCTACTCGCGCGTCACCGACACTTCCGCTTCCGTCTGGGCGGTCGCGCGCGCGAGCGTCGGGCACATCCCAGTCTATCTCTCGTTGCTCAGCGACGTCAAGTCAACTACGGATGCTCAGTAAGGACAAGCAGTGCGCGCCTGGCTCTTGGCGTTTATAGCCCAAAGAGGGCTGAGCGCCTCGGCAGCAATGTTGTACATGACACTGGCGCTCTCTGCTGGTAGAAGGAAGAAGAGTTGTTTTGTTTTGCTTTTTTCGTTTGTTGATTTGGCTAGTGGCAAAAGGAGAGATAACAAAGGGAAAAACAAGAAAATAATGTTTATTGACTGGGAGAAAGAGTAAAAGCCCAATTGCTTTTGGCATCATTCAGCATTTATCCCTTTCATTTATTTCCTCAAGTAATCTTAATAGTGTCCATAGTAACCTTTTTTTGATTAGAATTTTAATTTACATTATTGCATGAGAGGAGAAATTGTGAGTTTAAATTTTAAATTTGAAAATTCTGTGTTGATACATTGGATAAAATAACCAGATTTTTTCAACGTAAATACTAAATGCATGAAGCTAAAAGAAAATCAAACTTTTGTTGTGAACTTGCTAGTGAATATTTTTAGTGAATGAATGTTCTGTAGACTGTTATTACTGAAGAATGATTAGCAATTTACAAAGTATTTTCACATTCATTATCTTGTCCTCTATACAGAGTGTTGGGGACTTATTCAATGCTGTAGTCTCATATCATGGTGCAAAGGCATCAGCCTTTCTTTCTACCATCAGTGATCTCGATTCTCTTTGCTTTCATTTTCATCACATAAAATCATACTTCAAGACTTTACGTTTTATTACCTCCTTCAACAACTTGCATCTTTGCTTTGTCTCAGTTCCCATCTTTGAGGATTTTTCTTAAAACTCATTTCCATTGAAATCCTATTATTTTCAAGAACCACACTCTCAAGCTCTAGAATTTCTCTTTGCCTACAATTTTTTAATTACTCTCCTCTCCCTACCACCAATAACTCATTCCACATCTTTATATTATTACACTCTGCATTCCTTGTTTGCAGAATTCATGGTATCACTCTGGGTTTGTTTGTTTGTTTCACCCAGCATGAACAGATTTCTGTACCCTTCACCAATCTCAGCAATACATTCTCAAATGATATCTTGAGAATGTATTTTTTCTTTGTCTTTCTCTTTTCACCTCTTGACTTCTTAAAGTTTCTGGGTCAGTTGAGAAATCAATGAAGAAACACAGACTGGAACCTATATATGTCTTCTTTCCAACCACACAACTTGTCATTTATTATTCACCTATTACTTCTTCATTTTCAACTGTGGCTACCCTTAAAGCTCTATTTAGAAGCTTTTAAAAAGGATTATATCCAGGTACTAACCCCTAGTCATTCAGATTCAATTGTTCTGGGTTGTATCCTATATATCAGTACTTTAAAAGGCCCTAATGAAATTTTAATGGTGCATGTACTAGAGTCAAGGACCAGTGCCCTAGAGAGTGTCCATAGATAATATTTCAAAGTTTACCTACTTTTTTTCAAGTCAGGACTTCTGCCCTACTTGCCTTGATGAACTATTTACTTCCTGCTATTGAGGCCACAGATACGAATTCTTTCACCTTCTCTCTGTCACAATTCAAAGTAATTGTAGCTAGCATTTGCTGAGCATCTACCACATATCATGCATGTTGCTAGTGTCTTTCTATTAATTTATTTAATTTCACCATAACCTGTAAGGCAGATATCATAATTATTTTACAGATGAGAAAATGGGTCACAGAGTTTAGGTAATTTGCACAAGTCACAGTCAGTAAGGATGAGTGTTTAACATTGAAATCTAAGTGTTTTGCTTTCAGAACCTGTGTACCTAACCATTACCACTGGACCAGGTTGTCTCTGTAGACCAATATATTCTTGTATTTTATCTTTGCTCTATTCCATTATTCTATTCCATCATCCTCTTTCTTGTGAAGGCTGCACCTTCCTGTTATTTCCTGACCTCTCCCTTTGGGACCCCAATTTTCCAGTCCCTCATTTGCTTATGTGGGCAGGTTGGAAAGGTGTTAGGGGTAAACAAATATGTGAAAGGGATGGAATTGGCTTTTGCCCCATTGTATCAACACACAGCTGTCTTTTTTCTTAACTGTATACCTTCATGAGAGAATAATTGATATGATGGGGTGCCATGGAAAGAATAGAGGAACTTTGGGCAAAGGGGAGGGAGGGGCGTGGGGGCAGGAAAGATGGTGGAATGAGATGGACACCATTACTCTAGGTACATGTATGACTGCACATATGGTGCAACTCTACATCGTGTACAACCAAAGAAATGAAAAGTTGTGCTCCATTTGTGTACATTGAACCAAAATGCTTTAAGCTGCCATGTATAACTAATTAGAACAAATTTTAACAAAAAACAAAACTAAATAAATAAATAAGAAAAAAAGATAAGTTCAGACTGTGTTAGCACTACAGCACTTTGGAATTATGCGATGAGATGAAACAAATATTAACAATAGTGATGCTTGTTGTTCTTCTTTTACTATATGAAGAACTTACTATGATATTTTGCCTAAATTCCCCTTCTGTCTGGCCAGTTTCAGAGGGATCTGCCCTTACTTTCCAGGACCTTGGTAAGCGAGGGGTTGGTAGAGATGCAGAGTGAGATGGGGGTGAGGGTGACTAGGGGAAGAAGAAAAGGGAGAGAAATTAGAACTGAACCATTTTTTCAATGGGAAAAGTTAAAAGTTTTGCATGCCCACTGGACTCCTTGTGTATGTATGTTCACCTCACAGTAAAAGTTTCTGTTCCATTGTGGTCAGAATTAATTTGATGGCAAAAGACAAATCAATCTATGCAGTAAGAGTTATATCTGTAGCTATATCTTTTGGGTACCCTGCATGTGTTACCCCCATCCAAGTATCATGAGACTCACATCCTAATTTGTTGGAATCCCCCCAAATAAAGATGTTTCTTGTTAGAAAAAAATCTATCAGAAGAATAAGGGAAGATCCTGAAAACAGGAATAGGCACATTTACTCTGCTATGGCTGTGACATTTTGAAACCATAAAAGTTACAGTTTACATTTTCAACATGCATAGTTAGTTCTACAGCATCACTGAATTACATGAATACTTTTAGAAAGAATTAACGTGTATATGCCGAATTATTTCTGCTCCCTCTGTTGTTCTTATTTAGGATGCTTATCCTCTTTCCAGCTCCAGATTCTGCTTAATATAGCTTTAGAGAAAACTTGAGAGTATTTAGTATAAGTCCCCTTTCTTATTTTACTTTTTCACAATTTCATGAGGTATTTTAGGTCTATTGTATTTCCACATAAATTTCAGAAACAACTTGTCAATTTCTACAAAAATTTGCTGGATTTTGACTGGAACTATAGTGAATTTATAGATCAATTTGAAGTGACTGAAGTTAAAAATGATTAAGATTTTCAACATTAAATTGTTTGAAATATTCTGCAGACATGTTAACTTTGATAAATTTCATTATTCAAGTAGGTTTTTGTACATTCTTTAGAATTTTTTATGTGCTTGATTATGTTTATGAGTAAAGATAATTTTCTTTTATTTTCCAATTTGTGTTTAGCTTTGTTTGCTTTATTTATTGAATAAATGTATGTTCAAGTATATATTTGGCTTTTTAAATTTCTTTTATTGAATTATAGTTCAACATGAAATAGAAGTGATAAAAGTGGACATCCTTGCCTTTTCCCATATTATAAGGAAAATTGTTCATTCTGTTGGTATTAAATGAGATGTTTACTGAAGATTTCCTAAGATGCTTTTATTAAGTTTAGGTAATTCTTTTTTAGAATGAAAGGTTTGAGTCATTTGTTTCCTCATAAGTGGGTGTTAAATTTAATCAAATGCATTTATCTGTATCTATTAAGATATCTGTGGACTTCTTCATTCTTTTAATACAGTTCAATTACATTAATTGATTTACAGTGTTAAACTTTCATTCCTGGGATTAAACTGCACTTGAACATAATGTATTATCTGCACATATGTAGAGGGATTACATTTGTTAATAAACTTTGGCTAAGATTTTTTAAAATCAAAGATATTCTGGTTTCATTAATGAAATGGGAAATATTCCCTTTTCATTTCCAAAAGAGACCTTGGAGTATGATTTCTTTCTAAACATTTGATAGAATTATAAGCAAGTTTATGTGAACCTGCAGTTTTCTTCTTGAAAAGGGTTTGGATTTAAAATTGATTTCTTTAATAGATTCGGGGATGTTTCTTCTATTTATACTAATTGTTTTCTGTTGAATCAGCTTTAGTAAAACGTGTTTCAAGGAATTTTTCCATTTTATGCAAGTATCAAACTTATTGTTATCCATTATTCAAGAGTTCTTATAATCATTTTAATGTCTTATCATGAAATCCCTTTTTTACCTTCATTGTATGGATAATTTTTAATATATCCTATATTATCTATAATGGTCTACTTTAAAATCTATTAGTTTCATGAAGGTTTCAAAAACCAGCTTTTTGTTTAATGCATTTTCTTTATTATCTTTCAGTTTCTGTATCTGTGTTTTATATGCTTTTTTCCCATTCTTCTATTTAATTTATATTTAAATTATCATATTTCTAATTTCATAATATGAGATGCTTAAACCATTTTATAATTTTTTTCAAATGTAATATTTAGAACAAACTTTTAGTATTCTGCTAAACACTGTTTTAATGCTTTCTACAATTTTTCTTTTAATAAATTGTGTTTGTATTATCATTTTGTTTTTAATTTCCATTGTAATTTATTCTTTGATCCATGGATTAATAAAAGTGCATCATTATTTTGTCAAACATTTGGGCATATTCTTGTTATTTTTGTTGATTTCTAGTTTAATGCCATTGTTATCAATAAACGTATTCTGTATGATTTCCAACCTTGTGACATCTTATGGCCAAGCAATGATCTCTCTGTGAATGTTTTGCATAACACTTGAAGAGAATATATATTCTTCTGGCATTGTAAGGAGTGGTGTATAAGAATC